TTCTCCTGGACTAGCTGAATGGTTCTATGCTCTACACTCTCTGCAGGGATTGCAGCTGCAGGGTTTCACCCCAGGCCTGTATGCCAGGCCTGAGCTGAGCCTGGAGGGGACAAGGTGGAGTAGCGGGGAGAGGCAGCTTTCCCACACTCACCAGGCCTGGGCTAGGACTGGATCTGGGGTTTCCCTGAACGCGGTAGAAATTCCTACTTGGCGGGTGGGGTATGTGGGGGTACTACGGATTGATGGGAGGCATCCCAAGCGGGTGGAAGAGGGTTTCACCCACGCTGCGCCTGGGCTGGAACCAGTAGTAGGTCCTGCTGGCACAGAGTAGCTGGTAGCTCTCCCACACACTCACCGGGCCTGGGCTAGGACTGGGTCTGAGAATCTGTATTTGGAGAAGCCTTTAAAGGACCTTTTCATACTTGTAGGTCTTTGAATTTAGCAAAATAACCCAATATAATCCAATGGTCCATAGTAGTAGTGGATTATCAGCAGAACTGGCAATTGTCCATAGTTGTTAGCCTTCATATATAAGTGTATGAAACTTGAAGATATACTCATATTTGAAATATACCAGACCCACATGTGTAAACATCATATTGTCTCCCTAGTGTAAGAACTCAAGAAATAAAAATTGAAAGGTAAAACATGGTTAAATGGAAAGAGAGAACCCATTGAACAACAAAGAGAAAGCAAGGAGAAAAGTTAGGAAAGGTGGCAGGGGCAAAACCATACATCATACAAACAATATGGTTAAAGCAATGGTCTTAAGAATCTCCATCAGGTTCTTGAAAATAGCAGTTAATCGGTAGAATTCTCACCTTGACTAATTAATTCTATATGTTGATATTTGTGAACTAAGCAACTACACTGAGGATAGCAATATGTAATACTAAAACCATGCTTGAAATACCTGTCATTTTGGTCTTCTAAGTGCTTACTGCTTCTAATGTCATATCAGTTATTGCTATACTCTCTTTAAAGTAAGTGTTTGTTTAAAAAAATAACAAGGACGTCTTCCGACTGGAGCCTAGGCAGCACGGCTACTTCCCAGCCCGCAGGGTCACCCGTGCGACAAGAGGCCCAGCCAATCAGCGTCCGGGAGGCTGCACCATGGGTGGCACTCTGTAAAAGGCATGGCGGGAAAGCGCTGATCGTACTGGCTCACTCGGAGAAGACGTCCTTCAACTATGCCATGAAGGAGGCTGCTGTGGAGGCGCTGAAGAGGAATGGATGGAAGGTGGCCGAGTCCGACCTCTACGCCATGAGCTTCAATCCCCTCATTTCCAGAAAGGACGTCACAGGTGCATTAAAGGACCCTGAGAACTTTCAATATTCAGCTGAGACCGCTCTAGCTTATAAAGAAAACCGCCTGAGCCCGGATATTGTGGCTGAACAAAAGAAGCTGGAAGCTGCAGACCTTGTGATATTTCAGTTACCAATGCAGTGGTTTGGTGTGCCCGCCATTCTGAAAGGCTGGTTCGATCGAGTGCTCACAGGAGGCTTTGCCTACACCTATGAGGCCATGTATGACAAGGGGCCTTTCCAGAATAAAAAGGCTGTGCTTTCCATCACCACTGGTGGCAGTGGCTCCATGTTCTCACTCCAGGGTGTCCATGGGGACATGAACATCATTCTCTGGCCAATTCAGATGACTCAAGACCTCCCTCCAGTCTTCCTGGCCTTCTCTAAGTCTGGCACAACCACACAGACTATGTGAGCCCTGAGCAATTTAAGAAATTATTAGCCCAGCCCACTTTAGAGCTGGTAAGACTGAAGTCTGAGGTGGGCTCTCTGGAGTGGCTTGACCCTCCAGAAAATCTTTTCTAAAGAAGGGGATTGAAAGAAGAGTAAAGTGGCCACTGAACTTATCTTTCAGACTTATCTCCTTAAGGGGAGAGGCAGAGAAATGTACATCTGTGTGCCTTGGCAAGAGTCTGTTGCTGAGAAGCTGCAGTTCTCCCTAAGAACTCCCTAAGTAATAGAACTTTTGGCAGCAGGGCCAAGTTGGCACACTTCCAAAGTTTTATTAATTTCAAGAAGAGTATCGCTGAACACGCTAGCAACAGCTACAGAGTGAGGCCAGGCAGGTGTCGACAGGACTGAGAGCTGAGCCTGCTGTGTGCACAGTCAGGTGTCATCCTCTCCTAGCCAAGGACTACTGTGTGCACTGCATACTTCCTTGCAACCTCCCAAGGCTTCTCCAGGTCTCTGCTACACAATGAGAACGCTTGACAATTTAAGGAATTACTTGGTGTGGCCAAGTCACCATGTGGAAGCTCTCCAGGAAGCCCCAGCCAGCATTTGGTACTTGCTTATGTACGAACTTCAGAAGGCGAGTTGGGATTTCCTGCTGTGGCTTCTGTCTCCCTAGAGTGGCATTCTGCACTTTTGTGGCTTTCAAGTCTTAGAACCTCAACTGATGTACAGCATTGGGCACACTCCACCAGATGTCCGAACTCAAATCCTAGAAGGATGGAAGAAACTCCTGGAGAATATTTGGGGTGAGAAACCACTGTATTTTGCTCCAAGCAGCCTCTTTGACTTAAACTTTCAGGCAGGATTCTTACTGAAAAAGGAGATACAAGATGAACAGAAAAACAAAAAATTTGGTCTTTCTGTGGGTCATCATTTGGGCCAGCCCATTCCAACTGACAACCAGATCAAAGCCATGAAATAAGACGGACTTGGGTTTGTAACATATAGTCTGATGTAGGTATTTTTTTTTTAGCTTCCTTGATTTGTTTGGAAGCGTTTTTTTCCCCTCAAGAAATGAATAGTGGGCCAGGGAGATAACTCAGCAGCCTAAGTGTCTGCCTGGCAAGCACAAGATCCCAAGTTTGATCTCCTGTACCACAAATGAATAAATAAATAATAAAAGAAATGAATAGAAAAAAAATTAAAAAATAACAGAAGAAAATAAGAGAAAAAAATCATAAGATTGTCCTGCCACAGTGTTGTATATGGTTAGATTTCTAAATTTCTGTGTAAAAATTAGTTATTTTTTTCACATTCTATAGGGATTTACAAAATATCTATGGTTATTGGAAAATAGAAGTTCCATGTTATGTCTAAGGTTGTTGATGTTCAGACAGATAGTGATGTTAAGCCCGACTGCCTCTGTTACAAGGTAATAATATCATTAAGCTTTTCTTCTGGATGTTTAACAGCCAAAGTTTGCAGACCAAAAATTAGAGAAATAGAGGGGCTACAAGGATAGCCAATATTTTGGCCCTAATCCTTCAAGGTCAGTGAGGACTCAGGACATAAAAGAACCTGTACTGTGACATACTGTAACTCAGTGGTGTCCCAAATTTTCTTATCAAGGAGATTATGGGCAGAAGAAAGTGATTGATGATGTATGGTGTACCTAAGGAGAGTCACCTAAAGAGAAAAAAACTCTCTCAGGCTTTCACAGAGAGCAAATTGATCAAGCATTGGTCATGACTCATCCAGATGACAGACACTGACAAAAGATCTACAAGGTGCTGTACATGGTTTCAGGGTAAATCCTGAGGGGATTTGACTGGCCTTGTCAAATACAAAAGTTACATTTTTAGTTATACAGGTCTTGCTTTAACTTAGTCTTAACTATCCAGCAGAAAAGTGTAATCACAAGGTATAAAAATAAAGTTATATTAATATGCTGAGATGTAAAAGGCTCAAATCAGCAATTTCGGACAATCTTAATTTTTTTGATGACCTGTGGAAAAACAATTTTGATGTCATTTACATCAGCTGGTAACGTAGGTAAAAGCATGCTTTTAAGTCTATAACCCAAATTGTATTATGAACAAGTGGTCCCAAACGCAAAAGAAAAAAGAAAAAAAGAAAAATGATTGAACTCAAATAAGAAAGGAACAGCTGTTCATGAAATGGACAAACAGACAAACAAGTACACAGCTGAACAGGTTAAACAAGCAAATATCTTTACAAAATCAGATTATACACTCCAGTATATTTTTTCCCAAGTTGAATTACAGTAACTCTTTTCCCATTTTAGAAATTTATAATTATGAATAGACCAGTCAGATTTTGTTTTATATCAGTTACCAGAGATCTTTTAGAAGAAGAATTTGGAAAAAATAAAATCTCTTATCTATAATTAATATACTTTGTATATATTATTTCAAGAATACTGGCAACTTTCAGCTCATCTATCTCTATATACTCTATCACCTACTCAGACATTTTATCCTCATTTTGGTTACCATCTTCAGGGCATTGTGGTTAATTGCTGTAGCTGGCTCCAGATCAGGTAGCCTGATCTTTGTCTATCAGTTGTAGAGCAGCTTTCAAGATGTCACTGTCACAGGACAACACACCAGTTCCCCAAAACGTAGATCTGAGTTCATGATTCAGCCAGACAGCATGCTCTAGCATAACACAAGTATACCCTTCATGCCAAATTAGCTGTTTTTGCTTTATCTGATTGAATTGTAGTAGTATAAACTGCCAAGTGTGTTGGGAGGGATTGACTCCCCCTTTGATTTTTGTATTTGAATTTTGGGCATATGATGAGAAACCTGTATCCTATATTTTGGAAGAAAAAGCCATTACATAGTGTTCCCTACCCTAAAATGACCCATTTGTGAAAATAAAGTAAATTGAATTAACTTGTCTGAAGGATAATGAAATCAATAACAGCAGAGAGGGCTGGGGAGATACCTCAGTGGCATAAGTGCCTGCCTGGCAAGTGCAAGGTCCTGACTTTGATCAGAAGAAAGAAAAGAAGAAGAAGGAGAAGGAGAAGGAGAAGGAGAAGGAGAAGGAGAAGGAGAAGGAGAAGGAGAAGGAGAAGGAGAAGAAGCAGAAGCAGAAACAGGAGCAGAAGCAGGGGAAGGGGAAGGGGAAGGGGAATAGGAAAAAGAGGAAGAGGAAAAGGAAGAAGAAGAGGTAGAGGAGGAAGAAGAGGAGAAAGAAGAAGAGGAGGAAGAGGAGGAGGAAGAGAAAGAAGGAGGAGGAGGAGAAGAAGGAGGAAGAGGAGAAGGAGGAAGAGGAGGAAAAGAAGGAGAAGGAGGAGGAGAAGGAGAAGAAAGGAGAAGGAGAAAGAAGAGGAAGAGGAAGAAGAGGAGGAAGAGGAAGGAGAAGAGAGGAAGAGGAAGAAGAGGAAGAAAAATAGGAAGAAGAACAACAACAGAGAAGTTAGCCAATGTATATTACCAAGATGGCAAAAACTGCCATAACCACTGTTGTTGAATTGAAGAAAAAAGAATACTAAGAGTTTGAACTTGGGGCTGGGGAGATAGCTCAGCAGTCTAAGTACCTGCGTGGCAAGCACAAGGTCCCAAGTTCCCTCCCCCATACCACATGCCACGCCAGCCCAAGATCCCCAAGCACACTCTGCTGGCCTCAGAACCATATCTACAATCCCAGCACTGGGGAGACTGAGGCAGGAGGATCACTGTGAGTCCAAACTGCGTAGTAGGACCCTGTATCAACAAGACATTTAAAAAATAATTTGAACCTCATGACCAAAGAGCTAAACAGCACACATTCACTCACATGTGATCATTTCTGCCACATCACCATGAAAAGGTATAATACTTCTATGCAGAGCATGTGTCCTATGTAGCCATTGTAAAGGACCCCAGTGGGCATATACTGACTTACAAAAATAATTTAAAACATTGGCAGAAATGGGTCAACTCTAGAGAGTTGAGCATTAAAAAGAGCCAGATTAACTTCATCTAAGGCAGTTTTAGCCTCTGGCATAAGTGCTCCTGGAGAGGTGGAGACAGATCCCCCTTGAGAATGTCAAAAAGAGGAGCTAAATCATGAGTAGTTAGCTTAATATCTGGGTGAAGCAAATTAATATTACCATGTAAAGTCTGAAATCAGTTAAGGTTGATCTGAACTGCTTGGGGTAGCTTCCGGCTACCCTGTGCTGGTGGGACCTTCTGGTCCAAGCCCAGGTGCAGCGTGGGTGAGACCCTCTTCCACCCCCTTGGGACCCCCCCAACACTCCGCAGCACCCCCCACTACCACGTCCTCCGCGTGAGAATTTCTGCCACATTCTAGGGACCCCCAGATCCAGTCCTAGCCCAGGCCCGGTGAGTGTGTGGGAGAACTTCCTCTCCCCCCTACTCCACCTTGTCCCCTCCAGGCTCAGCTCAGGCCTGGCATACAGGCCTGGGGTGAAACCCTGCAACTACAATCCCTGCAGAGAGAGTAGGAGACAGAACCACCCAGCTAGTCCAGGAGCAGAACATCTTGTCAGAGGGGTACAACAGGTTCACTCCCAAGGGCGGCAGCAGAAAGGAGCTAAGCACGGCAGCCAGACCCAAGCCAGGCACAGCTGGATAAATCCAAACTTTGTAGATCTGCACCTGAACTTCAGTAGGTGCTGAGGTTAGAACTGCAACAAAGATCTACAACAAAGGTCAGAAGACAGTGCTACACAAAATGACAATGAGAAGGAGCAAAATGCAATCTCAGACTGCAAGCCCACCCATAACAAGTGCAGAGGACCCTGACACAGAGCAACTTGGGAATCACACAGTTGAAATCAATGAATCAATGGTTTCTGAAATGAACTGTTTGGGGTATAATATATATTTGTTGAATAAAATGATCCAAATATGAAAAAGGTGCCAATAGTTTGCACCTTTTCAGGAACCATGGCTGAGCCTGCATTGCAAAAAGTATCATCTAATTGGGATAAATATTTGATATAAAGTAGATGAGGATTCAATGTGCTAGAAGTGAATCATTCATGTAATGGATAAGGTAAACCAGTGGATGGGCCTGCCGTACTGACAGAATGGCTAGGGTTGGTGACATAGCTCAACAGACTAAGTGCTTGCCTAGGCAAGTACAGGGCCCAAGGTTTGATCCCTGGCATCGCATGCTGTGCCAGCCCTGCCCTCTGGCACACTGAGCCATCCACTGAGACTGGGTGTAGTGGAAGACTCCTGTAATCCCAGGGCTAGGGAGGCTGAAAACAGGAGGATCATTGCCAGTCTGAGCTGCATAGTGAGACCCTGTACCAAATACATTTTGAAAAATGGCTGCAGCCACAAACCTTTGGCACAAGAGTCTTCAATTCCTTGTGGCAGACAATGCCACCAGAAGCAGCGCTTAGGAGGCCTTTTTATTAATACAGAGTAAACTAAAAGAAAAACTTTTTTTTTACTTTGAGGGTGGAGAGGGATAATAAAAACAAAAAACAAACAAAAATTGAGTCTTTTAAATCAGTCACCATAAGAGAAAATATAAAGGAATAGCTACAGGTCTGGGCAATCCTGGTGATAGTGCAAGAGGATGAAAAAATAAACATAAGGTACAAAACCTATGGCCAGGCAAAGCCCTGTCTCTTCTGATGGAAGGAAAAGACCTGCTCAAGAACTATAGAGCACTTATTTATGCACCCACGAGGTTGATCTCAATTTCAACCTCTCTGCCTAGAAACCTGTTTGCAAACTGGAGTAGCTTAATTACATAACTCAAGGAGTTCTCCCTGTTCTCTAGCTGGCTTTCTCTTAGGCCTCCATGTATGATTGATTTCCACCTTCAGTCACTTCCTGCATGTCTCAAGCTGATTTAGTACATGGGTAGGGTTTCAGTTTCTCTTCTAGGTTATGCTAGTCTTCCCAAGCCCCTATATCCCTCAGAAATACTTGTTCAAAAACTCTGTTCCCTATTACAATTCCAAGGTCCCCTGGACTTGGAAAGAATTTTCTGGAACCCAAAAATGGGCATTTCAGGGACCTGATGCAAACTACACCAAATTTTCTCAAGACTACTAATTCTTCTCCCCCAAGATTCCATCTACTGAAGTAAATTTTTTGAAGCTTAAGACCAGGACTGCCCATTGGAACTTTCTATAGTGCCAGAAATGGTTGGGGCACTCACCATATACAGCCACTGGGTGTGAAGAACATGGGACCAAGCAGCTGAAATTTTTGTTTCAGCTTTCAGTGCATTTAGGTGAAAAGGGTTGACTGTAGTGCCTGGTTCCTGGGATGGAAACCAAATCTTTCTAGCCCTTTGCAAGGTGCCAGAGTCATGTCCCCGGCTGCTGTTTTGAGGAGAAGCAGAAAAGTGTTCACACAGTTTCTGACACATACCAGATAGTGACAAGGCATAGACCCCTTTCTGGTATAGGTCTCCTCATGAGCCACACAGAAATATGCTCAAAGGGACAGGACGTGAGATGTTATAGAAGGCACAAGTAGTCAATGACCACACTGAAGACCAAGTGGGGACAGGTTTTATGCTGAAAGAGTTGCTGGACTAGGAGCCATTTCCCCCCAGACCTATCTCCTGAGGAGAGTGTTAGCAAGAATCCCAAAGAGTGAAGTGGTTATCGGGGCCCAGGAGGAACCTCAGAGTGAAGAGACTGGGATATCAAAGCCTACATGCCATGCAGGTAAAAGAACTGTAGCCTCTTTCATTGGAATCTAGTGTGGTGAAGCACAGTAGGACAGAGGATTCACCCCTTTCTTCCAGGAACAGGAGTGTGAGGACCATCAGAGGGAACCCCACTTATGGGAGAAAAAGAGCAGGGGATTGCTCAGCCCAATATCCAGAGGCTATACATGTGGCCTCTTTTTGATACTCTGGGTTTTCCATTACCTTTGCTGTGATAACTGGTGCCACCTGAACCTGCTCTCATACCAACCATGCACCATGCTGAGAGGCCACCGAGGCCCTCTCCTCATCTACCCCACCATGCTGAGAGATCCTAAGCATGGGAGGGAAGTAAGCACTTCCCACAGTGTTCCCCTAGCCAGGCAATAGGGCTGGAATTGGTTTGGGTCCCAGAGATACAGGCTTTTTGGGACCCAATGGGCAGCCAAGGTGACTGGATAATTCCTCACCTCCCCCAGTGTCTTCCACACCTTCCCACCACTCTCAACTGCACACAAGAAAGACCACCCTTCTATGCCTCAGGTCTCTTAGATCAGGTCAGCATTGCATCCTCTCTCCTCCATTCTGCTCCTGTGTAGCACAAGTTAGTCTGGGCTCCATGACTCTTGTGCAGTGCCCAGCCCTTGAGGAAAATGGGTAACAAGATCTAAACCTGATAATTGTCTGACATTGTGGGCTTGGGAGACAGAGATAAGCTTGGTGTGTGCAGATCTGAGGCTCATGGCACCACTCATAATTAAGGTGATCTCACCTTGCTTTCCTCATTTGGAAAAAGCCAGTCACAGAAGTGTGATGGAAAAGAGAGTGACTTATGGTAGCTTGGGACTGGCTGTGGGTAAGGGGCTGACCAGAGAGGGCAATGGGCACTGCCACCTACTCTCCCCAGGAATTCCCTGCAACCATGAGACTGAAAGAAGAGCAAAGGACACAACCCAGCTCATGAAAAAAAAGCCAGGCCCTGGGTCCATAGCCCAAAGTACTCTATATCCTAGTGCCACCCTGAGTGGGAGAGTACCACACAACACATCCCATGATGATATTGGGGTCTCAGACAATAGGGACCACCTCAGTCTCTGGAGGCCAGCCAATCAACAGTGGTGGCTAGTGAGCCTGGTAAGTGTCAGGTGGGTGATCAGGAGAAGAGCAGGTGGCTAGGGTAGGGCCTGGCTGCAGGCTACCCCGTTCTGGGCAACATAGCTCGGTCTGGGTCCTGGGCTTATGTGGGGGTCTCTGTCCTTGAGGGAACAGGCTGACAAGATGTAAACCTTACAACTGTTCCTGAGTCCCAGGTTACAGGACAGGATGTGGGACACAGAGAGAGAATTGCCACTGTGGAGGGTTAAGGCCTTGGTTCCTCGTGGGGAAAGAGGCACTGAAATGGCAGTCATGGGGTTCTTCTATCAAGAGAAAGAATGATTTTTACTCACACAAAACTCTCAGCAGGGGCTGGTGAGATGGCTCAGTGGTCTAAAGCACCTACTTAGAACAAGCTTAGCAAAGCATCAGGGACCACGGTTCAATCCTCCAGCACCACATGCCAGCCAGCCCCGCCCCCTGATGGGCTGAGCTGGCCTCTCTCTCTCTCTCTCTCTCTCTCTCTCTCTCTCTCTCTCTCTCTCTCTCACACACACACACACACACACACACACACACAAATAAATAAATTTTTTTAAAAAAAAAACCTCTCAGCAGGATGGCTCATAGCATCTTTATTCAGTATAGGCAGAAAGCAGAAATATGCCAGGTGTCCTCCAACAGCTGGGTACTTGGCAAACTGGGGCACCAGTGCCATGGAGCTCAAGCCCCTGCTCCACACACCTTGTGACCTCCCATCAGGGATAGACAGCAAGAGCCGGCATGGGCCCTCAGCCTGTGAGTGTTCATGGAAGTCCAGGGCTCTGAGGAGACCAGAGGAGAAGGTGAGTCTCGGGTCAGGCAGGCGCAGAAGCAGCAGACCCAGGCTCTGGGAGGAGGGCAGCAGGCTCCTCCTTGGGTAACCAGGGAAGTCAGTAGACTGGGCTCAGGAGGAACTCTGAGTGTGCTGCTTGATCCAGGGCACAAATGACTGAACTCGAGCATATACCCCTGGAATGTCACGCCAGCCACATCCATAGCCCCAGCTCACCACTCCCACCAGGGTCCAGGAACCTGAGTCCTTGCAGACCAGGGGGCCACCGGAGTCACCCTGGGGATAAAAGGAGATGAAGAATAATTGCCCTGAACAATGGATGGTGGTCATGGGCAGAAGCAAAGATGGATGGGACTCACCTGGCATGAGTCTCGGCCCTCACTGCCAGCACACAGCATGTCATTTTGAATAATCCTGCTATTCTTGTAGCGATGCCCACTAGCATTCTGGTACAGCTGCTCACAGAGAGAGTTCTCAACCAATTGTACCTTCACCTCCTGCAGGCGGAAGGGTGGTGGCAGCGCTCCTGGGTTTGGGGGAGAGCAAGAGGTGAGCATTGCTGTGGCACAAGCTCCCACCCACCTCCAACTGGAACTGACTATTCCTGGGAGGCACCATAGACTGGCTTGAGGTCAGCTACATCCTATCCAGGTCACTGCAATCCTCATCCTCAACTTCTCCTCGTGCAAAACGGTGTTAGAAAACCAAAATGCACGGATCCATGTCCCTGAGATCTTGAAATGCTACCAATGAATATTGCCACCTGTAAGTGGAAGGATCAGAAAAATAAGGGAGCTATGTGTGCTGCTGTTGCCCAAGAAAGCCTCTTTTTTTGTGTAAATGATATAAAGTGTTTGCCCTCAGTCCTAAGTCTACATCACCGTCTTGCCTAAGACTCAGTTGCTGAGGCTCCTGGTGGAACATGTCAGCAGTGTCCCAAACACTTACCATAATATCCCTCAGCACCCCACCCTGTCACCCAGCACTCCTCCTTCTGGGTGACCTCGTGATTGAAGGAGTTCAGCTTGACAGACTTGACATTGTCAGAGCAATCTGCGGGTTCCACCAGGCGCAGCAGTGCTACATCTGCACCCAAATTAGCATAAACGAAGTCTGGGTGGACAATGATCTGGCTGACACTCAAGAGCTTCTGGTGCCCATACAGGTACACGTCCCCAGCCAGGATGCGGTAGGTTGACGGGTCCGCATTTCTACTGTGGTCAGAAAGAAGCCCCAACAACAGCTCACTACAGGGCCCTCACTGAGCACCATGGGGGAGGCTCAGAACTTCTGAGCAGAAACCCCAGGGTTCAGAGATTGAGTCTCCCGTCCCCAAACCCTCACCCACATCTCCTCCATTCACCCCACATTCCACACAGAACTGGACAGCAGGAGCAGTACTCACTGGTGAATGCAGTGGGCAGCAGTCAGCACCCACTTCGAATCGATGAGGGAGCCACCACATCTGTGCACCCAGGCTGACAAATGGTAGTTGTACACCTTCAGGCTGACCTGCCAGGGCCACTTTCCCAGGGGAGCATTTTGTCCCCCCACGATGCCCACCAGCTCTTTCTCAGTGGCCGATGCTAGAAATAATATGTGCAGCATCAGGGAGGCTGAGCTGAGACAGCTAACCCTCCACCTGCTGCACACATCCCAGGAGCCTGAGGCCAGGGCCTGCAGAGGCCTCTGGGGAAAGAAGGGCGTGAGGTGGAGTCAAGATTTACCTGCAGGCTTAGCAGCAGAGCCCCCCAGGAGGCAGAGAGTCACACACAGCAGGCTCAGCATCTGTGGAGGAGAGAGGTATGGAGGTGCTGGGGTGCCCAGGTATGGGATGCAGAGGGCCAGAGCGACCAGGGTGCGGTAGGGATGGGACTTACCATGACAGGACTCCACACTCCTCCTCCCTTGACCTCTTGGCCTCTTTATCCTGCAGCCACAGGAAGTGGGCAGGGGTTTGTCCTGTCCTGCCTTGGAGGAGTGGGCAAGCAGGAAGCAGCACTACACCTCAGATTGTGGTGGGTGTTGACTAGTGATGCAGATAAGAGGCACTGTTTTCCAGGGCACTCACATGTGTTATAAACAGGTTAAATCTCGTGTGACAGGGACAGTTTGAGTGAAAGCAAGGTTGCTCCTCCAAGAGTGTAGTTCATAGTTTCATCCAATCCTTGGCAGGTGCTGAACCTAGAATGTTGGGATACACAAGGTGAGCACCAATGTCCCCTCAAGAGACATGAAAGTTACACTCGGTACCAGGGACAATAATAGCCCAGTCAAGAAACATGTGGCTGCAGTATCCACCTCATTGGGGAGAATTGCCCCAGCCCCCACCCCCGGGCCTCCACCTTCCAGAACTGCACCCTATGCAGCCCCTGAGCACTTTTCTTAAACATGTCCCTGGGAGAAACACTCCTGAAGTCACAAGGACTGCAGTGGGCTTCAGAGAGCTGACAGTCAATCTCAGTACTGATGTAGGAAACTAAATTGAGAGAGAGCTCAGCACAGGGCAGGGACACCTACAGTCCAGGGCCTGTAGCCACTCTTACTAACCCTGTTGTGTCCCATGTTGTATCTGAGTAACACTTGGGCCCTGGGATCCCCAGATGTCCTCGCTGACCCTTTTCTTGTGCCTGCTCAGGCTGCAAGCTTCTTTTTTCTCCTCACAGCAGTGTGGCCCTAGGGACCTTGCAGAGGTTGGGTAGCTGGAAGGGAGGTCAAGAGATTTCCCACACAGACACTGAGGGACTGCATGGAAGGCAAGATTCCAGGGGCACCAGCATCGGATTTCAGGGGCATAAATCTGAACCTGGGAGGACCCACGCTGTGATACTGCAGGAGGGCAGAGCCCTGTGGCCATGAGAGACAGTCTGACTTCCAGCCTAGAGGAAAAGAGAAACAGGAGGAGGCTGTATTAGAAGAAGCTTCAGGATGCCTAAGACCTTCCAGACACGAGTAAACAAGAGAATGAGGGGTCAGGGATGCACTCTTCATTGCCTCCTGAGTCAGCTGCCACAGCATAGTGAGTTATAAGAGTGTCTTTTCACAGCCCCATGAATGAGAATGGAAAGAACCCACCAAATAGGGCAAACAATTAAACACAGGAGAATACGAGGTATACAATAGTAGTCCTTCAGTTATTCTTTTGTGTTCAGCAGCAAAATATTTCCATCAGCACACTCTACAAATGTACTTCTCTTCCACCCTATGGGGCATGATTCCACCTGAGCCTACAGGGTGGATTTCAAAGAAATAGCGGTAGCTCAATCCCACAAGTGACGCCTGGCCATCAGTAACTGTCATGGTCATTATGTATGTCCACAACACGTTAGAACTTTGTGTGATATCCTATCCTCAAACTGTTAGAAGTGCTGGTCATTTATGTGCCATTTCAGTATTTATCTTATGTTTTATTCTTAGTACTTCTTTGCTATCATGAAAACTTTTTCTTAGTTCAATTGTTTTGAAACATTTAATTTTTGATTAATTAGTATTTCATTTTCTGAATATTGCTTAATCTTAATTTTTGTTCTAAGATTTATACTATATCTTTGACTTACAATTTATTTAAAAGACATCATATAATATCTTCTCCTAGTATTAGAAACTTTAAAAAGTATATTTCCATTTTCTGTCGACTTTATATTACTTCTTCCGTGTCTTTTATACACACATACACATACATATATATGAAAAAAATACTTGTATAACCCAACATAAGATAGGTACTGTTTCATAGAAATCTTCAATGACCTTTAAATAAGGGTTCATCTAATATACATTATATAGTCCTGCATAACTATCATATTGAGAGCTCTTTATTGTTCATCCAGGAGCATACTGCAACTTCTCTTGCCTTTTGAATTATGCTCTTTGTTATTTCCTATATGCTATTTCTGGAGGTATTAAAATATTGCAAGTTTGTATAACTAGAAAATCTTACTTTTAGTTTTCAAAGGTATGTTTGCTAAGTATAAAATTCAAAGAGGACAGATCTTTTCTTTCAGTCCTGTAATTAGTCTAGTTTCTTGCACACTTGGTCCTTTTTCTTCCTTTCTAATGTAGAATAAGATGCTATTTAATTTTGTTCTTCCATAGCTAATTTTTTTATGTATATGCTTTAATGATTTTTTCTTTATAATAAGTGTTGGATAATTTCATTTTTGTGTATCTTGGTACGATTTTATTTAAATTTCTTGTGCAAAAGGTTCGTTTTTCTTATAATTGTGGTATTATAAGTTGAACTAAATTCAGAAATTTTAAATCTTTAAATATTTATTGCCTAATTTCTATTTTGAGAATTTTAGTTATATGAATATAAGTTTCTTGGTTTTGACACAGTGAACTATTATGACTGATCCATAAATTCTTTCTTCATTTTTATTTTGGACAATTTTTATTGTTATATTCATTTATGTTTGTAAATAATTTATTTTCAATTTGCAATCTATTAAAAAATTAAAACAAAAAAAGATCTGAACAGCAAAAAAAAGAGTATCTTTGTGAGGGACACACTGTGTACTGCTGTCTGTAGTAGTGGTGGGGCCTTGAGTTCCTTATCTGGGCGGGATCAACCTGAGGCCCTCACTGGTGGTCCTGGCTGGGGCTGTTAAGCAATGAGGCTTGGCAACAGAATACATGATCACCCTGATAGTGTCCTGACCAGGCCATCATGTGTGCCTTCAGTGATAGGATCAGAGAGAGAACCCAGACTATATGAGCAAGTCATGCAGCCATTAGGATTGGGACCAGGAAAATGGTCAATGATAATGGGTCACAGACACCATTAGGAGAAGGTTTTGGCTGCCCAGGGCCAGTGTTGCAAGAGGGCAGGTTGAGAAAAGCTGAGCAGAGGAATCAGTTGTGCACCGGCAACTCAAGACAGAGGACGAGAGGGCATGAGCTTGCTGAGAGCTGGGAGGCATCATCCACAATCTTGTTTCTCCTGCAGACCCACTGTAGCCCAGCCTGGCTTGTATGACAGTATCAGAGTCTCTGGTTGGACACAATGCTCCTGCAAGGCAACAAAGTCCTTCCTCCTCTTTCTGGGAGTCCTAGGGAAGCGTCTCGCCTTGGACACCATAACAAATCTGCTCAGCTTCACTTTCTAGCGCAGGCACTTATGTTCTCTTCCCCACCAGGTGTCACCACTGCTCTCTCCTGACCAGAGAGATATTTCTAAGAGTATTTTCATGGATACAACGAGTTCCTGCCAGATACAATATGTATGCAGCTATTTTGTGAGATGGATGAGTTGAACTTGTGATAGCCCTACTTCAGCATCCCAGGTAGCTGGATTCACTGGTGTTCACCTTCATACCTAACCAAAGTACACCACTTTTAGCAGTACACTCTACTCAGTTGCATTAGTTTGAGGTTCACTTACTTAGCTTATTCTCTGTGGACAGACATTTATTGGTTTCCATTTTTTTTTTTTTAGCAATGGGTGATGGACAAACCATTCCTGCATATATATGTACATTTGTCTTACCTAATTATTGCCAAGTGTGTCTGGGTCCAAAATTACACTCAAGTGAAGACCACGGAGTCACTGTGATACATTCACCCACACACCCATATTTGCCCATCCATTATCCATCAGTCCATGCATCCTATCTCTGTCCCTCCGCTCACCCCTTGGCCCATCTACCCATCCCTCTAACATCCCCCCTTTTCAAACCAGCCACCCTTTTATCTGACTTGTCCATGTAGTCTTCCATTCTTTTGATTTTTCCTCACTTACCATTTCACTCAAACATTTATCAATTCACTTAAGTAAAGCCAATGTACAGCACTGAAGACACTTTCTGAGTTATTGGACAATGGGCGAATTATGATGATTACTGGGACTTGGAACTTCTGTCCAGTGACTTTTCACTGCATATGGTGGTACAAACCTATAATCTTAGTTGTTCAGGAGGCTGAGGGAGAAGGATCACAAGTTCCAAGCTGGTGTGAGCTATATCATCAGACCCTGTCTCAAAACAACAACATCAATAAAGCTAGGGGTGTAGCTCAGTGGCAAAGCACTCACGTAGCAAGCACAAGGCCCTTGGTCCAATTTCTAGTAGTCCTCTAAAAAATTTACATATTCACCATATGTAAATTTAGCAATTATATAAGAAGACGGTACAGTACATTGATAGGTGGTCAGTGACGGTCTGTAGAACTGATGTGAGAACATAGACCTGAGTGGTATTGGGATAGCTGGAACGTGTATGCATGCATGGGGATGTGTATGGCATGTGTGTATGTGTGTGAGAGAGCCAGAGTATTATATATATATATGCCTAGTAGAACACTGTGTGCATATGTGTACACGTGTGTATGCATATGTGTTTTCGTTGTGTATATGAGAATATACATATCTGTCGCTATGGATAGGCCAGTGTGTACATGTCCCACTGGGCCTCTCAGCATCTGGAAGTAACAGGTTGATTTTGTCTCCTTTGTGTCTGTAGGAGTCTTCTCTCTGGACCTGTTCCATTGAAAGTGTTTCAGGGGAAAATAGCTCACACTGGAATGATCACTTAGTTTGATGTCTAGGTCAAGTCATGGGTATTGGGTCAAGATGGGCCCATGTCTCCCAGGCTAAATCTTAGAAGTGGGCATTCCATAGCTTCAGGTACACCCTCTGTATCCAGCCATAGCTGTGCTGGGGGCAGTCTGCATCTTGTACAGCAAATAACCACTAGGAAGAATGCATGCAATGTGTTAATTATTGAAACTGTCCTACCACTTTGGTTTGAAATTGTCTCATTGCTATTTATTTCTCAATAAAATTATGGAAAAAAATAAAATAAAATAAAAAGAAGAAATAAAAAGGAAAAGAAATTTCCATTATACATTAAAAAAAAGTGGTCTCGGTTGACCAGTATATGCTGTGGGGCTCCTG